GTGAGCTCTTCGTGTCATGACTCTGTGCAGTACAGACGTCAGAGATCTAGAGCTGTTGTGTCTGTGCTGCAGAGCAGACACGTGCCGTCCGACTGTTACCCGTGACTGATGGCTGACGGAGGAAGAAGGGATTAATTGAGGAAATTGTTGATAAGTACTGGAGGGGTCTGGTCTGGTCTGGTCTGGTCTGGTCTGGTCTGGTCTGGTCTGGTCTGGTACCGATCAGAGAGTAAGAATGAGAAATGTTTTGTGGAGAAAGACTGAGGTCCAGTTAGAAGAAGAAAATGAATATATATGGATTTAAATGAATGAATGAATGATTTATCAACAACAACAGTTTCCCCAAGTGGTGGCCGCGGTGGCTTAGTGGTTAAGAAAGCAGACCTGGGTCCAGAGATGGGTTAAAAACAGAAGTCACATTTGGTTGTGTGCAGTGGTGCAGTGGTGCAGTGGTGTGTCACAATGACCAGCAGTTGACTTTCCTTCCTTCTTCAGGTCCTTCTAGTGTTAGTGATGATGTCATGGTGGAAACCAAATGTCTCACTGTAGAAAAAATAGAAAAATAATTTCTCTAAATCCATATTTACAGAACTGAAGCTCATGTTTTTACTCAGATGAAATCATTTAGTGTTTATTCACATTTAGTCACTCATCGTTCCTTCAGCACAGTCGTGTTAGCGTCTGTTAGCGTCTGTTGGGGGGGGGCAGCAGACCACTGTCAACACCTCATTTTCAGAGTGGCTCAGATAAGTCGGCCCTTGTGTCTATCAGTTGGTGTGGATTCTGTGACGAGCTGATTGGCTGAATCTGTGTAACGCTAACGCTGCGCTACTGTACGAAATATATGGCTACAACACAGGTTTACTATTGTAACTCTGTGGGTCTGTGGGGGGGGTAAGATGAGGGGGGGGGGTGATTGCTCCTACTTTGTTGAATTATTCAGTGAGTCCTCACACTCTTTATTGGTACCGTAACACATTTCATTAATCGCTGGTGCCTTTGAGTAACGGGACAAACTGCTGTGCTGAGAAAGTCTGAACTATCACTGAGACAGAGACTGGACCAGGACCAGTACCAGTACCAGGACCAGGACCAGGACCAGTCCCCTGGTCAGCTTGTGTTCTGATGTTCTGATGATGTATGTACTGACCACTGAGGTTCAGACGGTGAAATCTGCTTCATTCACCTGTTTGTTGTTCCACTTCCCCAAACTGAACGTCAATCACTTCTGCTTTAGTCACTAGTTCTTTTTGTTTTGCATAAAATCCTGCCTTTGTGTTTGATTCATTGAAGTTTCGTGTGACGGCAGCAGTTTCTGTTCAAACTTCATCAGAAACTCCTAAGGATTCATTAAGAACGTGTACACAATGTCTAAGAACTGACCGTGTTTTGGTCAATGTAACTTTTTACAAGGTTTTTTTTTTTGTTATGTTAAAAATCCGTGCATATTTCGACCTGTGATGATGAAGTTTTCCGTGAGGACGGCCACAGAGTAGAGCCACTACTTTTGTGTGTCTTCAGTTTTCGTCAGTGAACTCAGGAGCTACATCAGTTCATAGACTAACCTGAAGTCTGTGTCAAAGCTTTTTTTCATGGAATCATAAAAACAATTTACTACACAGTACCAGAAAGTTCCTCTCAGTTTTTAAATGAGACTTTGTTGCACGTACGGTGCTGGTGTGTTGTGTAAAAGGGGAAGAACAAACATCTTTAATTTCTCTGTGGATAATATGCTGTAACCAGATGCTTCAGTCTGCGGAGGAAAGAGGCTTTGCAGAAAATCTTTTCCAGAGTTCCATGTGTTGCTGCTGCAGAACACAATAGATATTCATGTAAAATAATATATGCAGTCAAATAAAACGAGGAAACCTTGGAGAAACATCAGGGTTTGTTTCTGCTCCTCTAAGCAGAAGAACCAGAATTTCCACCCTAAACTTTGGGGAGTGTAATTGATATGTTGTATTTAACAAAGGTGACGCTTTGGAAAGAAAGTTGATACAGAAATGAGAGAAACACTGTTGTTTCCAGTTAAAATAAAATAAAAAATGATACAGCAAATAAATCAACAAATTTGACATCCTGTCATTGTTTAAGGTAATCTGAAGTCATGGCAACGACACGACTAGTTGATTCCACTGATCAATTTGCCAGGAGCTAACATTTACAGTCAGGGTTGATTCACTTTAACTAACACATTTTAATAGTTAATCTAAGTTATCTGGTCAAAGGTTCACTTGTTGTTTACAAACATTAACACGTTACGAGCAAAACACAAAAACGTAGCTTCGTACTTTTTACCCCAAATATCAAAGACTATTTGAATTCATTTGCTCGGTGAATGATTTTGCTCTGAGTGATCACAGAGCTGCGTTTCATTATCATCTGTTTTGGTTTTGTCAGTTCACTTATTTGTGGTTAATGTTAGAGAGAATTCAAGAATGTCATGGATTTCTGTTGAACCACGTGTGATCTTGACTCATGTCTGACTCCTACAGGAGTCTGACACAACGGAGGTGTTTCACTGATGTGGAATAAAGAGGTTTATTACCAAAAAACCTTGGACCACATGGTAGACACCAGGGCAGACGTTTCTACTACAGTTTCTGTAGTACTTTCAGAGTACTTTCAGAGTAAAGGCGCTCTAAAAAAAACTCTGTTTCCAAAATGAATTTTTAATGAGGCTTTTAATGTGAAATGTTTGCAGTGCTGTCTGCTGCTCAGCCTCCCACTGAGCTGAGGCTCCATTGTTCATGGAGGTTTCAGACCGACCTTATATAAAGTGTAGCAGACCTGACACTGGGCGTCACCATCTTCATCCATCAGTGCTGAGGATCCTTCAGACCAAAATGGTCGAAGGATTGGTTTTTACCAAACGTTCAGGGAAAACAAGGAGTTTGAGAGAAAATCCAATCAGATTCTACAGTTCATCCAACAACTGTAAAGAACGACGTCGCCACAGGTTCTCGTGTGCGTCTGTCTCTTTGATCAGTAGTTAGAGTCCGTTAAGTGCCAATCATTTACGATAATGTGCGTGTACTGCAGTTAGCTGCAGTTAGCTGCAGTTAGCTGCAGTTAGCTGCAGTTAGCTGCAGTTAGCTGCAGTTAGCTGCCAAGTCCATCAGTCAGTTTTGCAACAGTGGATAATGGGAAGGGCTCTGATCTCATGACGCATTCACTGACACACACACACACACACCAGCGAGCGCTTGCCCAACTGGATGGAGGTGACATAATCTGGTGTGTTGTCTCGGCTGATCCTCCGTCAGGGATGAGGTCACTCAGATTGAGCCACCTCAGACTGAGCTGATGACGTCAACAAGGTCGGTTTAGTAGACGACACCTTTGACGTCACACCGACGTCTACTGATTCAGTTTGATACCAACTAGAAACAGCAGTGGTCTCTACCACGAGTCAGGTTGAAGACTCAGTGTCCTCTAAGTCCAGGTCCAGGTGTTGTCGGTCCTCCTCACTGATGTGTGTGTGTGTGTGTGTGTGTGTGAAACTTTAAGTTTGTTGAATTATTATTAAATATTTAACCTTGCAGTTTTTGACTCATCGTTCATTGAGGGGATTGTGAAGGGGCGTGGTCAGGGGCGTGGTCAGGGGCGTGGTCAGAGTGAGTCGTTCTGGAACAGCAGCTCAGTTATTGATGGTTATTGATGGTCTGTAATAATAATAACACCGAGCTCTGGGTAGTTGTTCTTCCAGGGGCATTACCTCATGCCTGTTGCCCCGTTACAGCGCTCTGCCGATATCAGTCATCTGAAAGAAGCATGTGAAGTAGTACAGATTAAACATGACAGGTGTGTGTTCACACACACACACACACACACGTGCCCTGAAACCTGTGGTAGTTCTAATGGTTTTACCCCCAGAGGAGGCAGTACGGGGTGGAAACCCCCATCAGGAGGTGAGGGTGAGTTAATACATTAGAGCGGAAACAGAGTCACTGCACGGAGTGTTGAGTAACTGAGTCAGTGTCAAGTTAACGTCCTGTTATTCACCACCACAGAGTCCATGTTCCTGCTGTCGCTTTGAAAAACTTTTTAAAAACAATTCTGTTTCAGAAGAATTCAAATTTAAAATTCTGAATTTGGAAAAATCTATAAAAAGACCAACATCCTATTTCTGGAGGTTTTTTTTTTTGTCAGGCTGTGTATGTGTGTGTGTTGGTTGGTCACATGATCCAGAACACACACACACACACACACACACACACACGTGTGTGAGCGTGCTCAGCCAAGAGAAAAATCCCACAGCTTGGTGAGGATTCCTCTCTCTCTCTCCGGCCTCTTCTGTTTTTTTCCCTCAGTCAGACTGCAGTGTCATCTTGCTCAGGGTATTTTTTGCCCACTTGCCCCAGTTCACCTACATCTGTAACATTAGCACTCTTTACACTGCCCCGCTATTTTTGGATCCTGAGGGTAGTGTTCCACGAGGGACGCAGAGTTGGACCGTGGCTGGTCGTACAGTGGACGGTTGGTGCACTTGTTTACGGCAGAGGTTCAGTTTGGAGTCCCTCTGTCACAGAAGAACAGGAACCAGAGCAGGAGCATGAACAGGAAGAGGAGGAGGCAGAGGAGGAGGAGGAGGAGGAAGAGGAGGTGGAGGAGGCAGAGGAGGAGGAGGAGGAGGAGGAGGAGGCAGAGGAGGTTTTTACTGGCCTCCAGAGTCAGAATTCCTCCTGAGCTTTTCCCCCATTTGGCTGGCACTTGTGAAAACAATTGCCTGGCATTTATTCTGTGCATGTGTGTGTGTGTGTGTTTGTGTGCGTGCGTGTGCGTGTGTGTGTGCAGATGGAGCCCCGGCTGTGAGTCAGCTCAGAGAGCTGAGTGATGAGAAAGTGGACAGAACCCACCTGTCCTCTGCTTCCTGTCTCCATCTTACCCACTAACCTGTTGACATGTACACAGGACTGATTTCCGTGTCTTCGTTTCCGTGCCGCGGCTGTGGTGCAGCGGTGGATTAACAGAACCTCTCCTGTGTTGTGTTTCTCCAGAGTTGATCTACAGAAGATGCTCCTCTGATGTCCTGAGGAAGCCCTGACTCCAGACTGAAGCAGCCGCAGCCGCAGCGTCGTCTCGCTTCGTTGACTCAGACGTGATCGGTCGGCCAACACTGATAAACCAACGCCGCCGCCTGCGCCTTTTCCCCACCCCCCTCCTGCGTACCCTGCCGCCATCATGACGTCGGAGCTGGAGAGCAGCCTGACCTCCATGGACTGGCTTCCACAGCTGACCATGCAGGCGGCCATCCGCAAGGCTGACGCCCAGAATGCCCACGGGCCTGGCATGGGCAAGAAAAGTGCCCTTCTAGATCCTAACACCACGCTGGACCAGGAGGAAGTGCAGCAGCATAAAGATGGCAAACCGCCCTACAGCTACGCCAGTCTCATTACCTTTGCTATCAACAGCTCGCCAAAGAAAAAGATGACTCTGAGTGAGATCTACCAGTGGATCTGTGATAACTTTCCGTACTACAGAGAGGCCGGCAGCGGCTGGAAGGTAAGACGAGGCCTCGGCCGCCCTTCACTCCAGGGAGAGTGAAGATCAGCTCGTTATCGTTGGTGATGGTTGTTGTCTTTGTCAGCTTCTTACCTGACACGGTGTTTTACAACAGAGGTTTTACCGCGGTCGTCACTGTGTCCTAAACCCAAACTGAGGTTTGTCTGAGTTGTTAATTGTCGTGTGGCTGCGTGGCTTCTCTCTCCACCCGTTAGATCCTCCCTATTGTTATAAGTCTAGGAGGAACCCAGGTGAACGCCAAATCACAGCACGACACGGTTCAGCCCTGAGAGAAGCACATGACGTGGAGAGGCCTGGATTGATATTCAGAGACGTCGCCCCCTATCAGTGAGAACACAGACTAAATAGCCCATTCATGGGTGGTATTATTCATTGCAGATGCCTTGATAGGAGAAGGCCATTATGCAGATGGAGCCAGTGCTGTGTCATCATCTGAAGGAGCCCATGATATACTGAGATGAAGCCCTGCTGATTGCCTTTTAAAGGCTCCAGATGGAAATTGATATTAGAATGAGTTTTCCAATCACGAGACGTTTATTGGAAATAGAATCTGAGACACGGCCTGACTGCAGTCAGACAAGATGTATGAAGCCCATTTCCTGGGGCGACAGAATCTGGCATGTATACAGGCTATATGGAGGTGTGTGTGTGTGTGTGTGTGTGTACAAATGAGGAGGAGTGATTTTTAGGTTGGTTTTTTTTTCTGTCTTTCGTCTGTTGTTCATTTTCACTCATCCTCATTCTTTCTTATTGGTTGTTGTCAGTAGGAATAATTATTCATTTTAAAAACCTGACTTTTCCCCCATGGCAACAATGAAGGAATATTGCATTTATAATAAATTTGTCTTCATTGCGCCCCCTTGGTGGACCAGCCCCCCCCTCATTTTGGGAACCACTGTGTTAAAAGATGTGTAGCTACAGCCCATGTGACCAGATTTAAAGATTTCAACTCTTCAGATCAGATACTGTCGGTGCATCCTGTCTGTAGACAGAACAAGGTGAAATGAAAAGTTCCTGTATGTTCATGGAACGTTCTGGACCTTTTTTCCAGCAGATCAGTATCAGTTTGTCTGAACTTTCAGCTGTGGCTCGGACTTGACGTCAGTGAAAAGATTTGGTGGAGAAGCTGTTTTAGAATTAGTCAGATTTGGTTCAGATTGACGCCGTTCAGCTACTTTGTGGCTGACGCAGATGAAGAGGCTCTGGTCGCTCTGCACCTGTAGAATCAACACAATGAAAAGTGAGAAAAACCACATCAGTCTAACCAGGATGAACTGAAGAACAGGAAATGCTAAAAACCAGAACGAGAATATGCTCCACTGCCAGGACCTGCGTCACTCCTTCTTCTTACTTCTTGTTAGTTGAGGTGCTTCCCCGTCACTGTTTTTTTTTTTTTTTTTTTTTTCTGAGAATTGAAACTGCTGAAATATTGTGTAAAGTGTGTGTGTGTGTGTGTGTGTGTGTGTGCACCTCGTGGTGTGTAAAGCGCACGTGTAGCCTATATATTTTTTACAGCCTAGTCAGTGCTTTGACAAATGTCAGAGCAAAACTCTCCTGGTCCGTGATACTCAACGAAACCCATTAAAAACCTTCTTTTGTCCCAGTTAGAGTTGGTAACCAGCAGTGTGTGCATTTAACTAGTTGTTTATTTAAAGTTTATTAATTTTCCAAATAGTGAAAATTTCACTAAAATCTGTCAAGAACCTTGAGAACGTTTTTTCTCCCAGTCGTTGTAGGTCGCCACTAGTTTGGATATTTGAGTTCATTCCACCAAAAGTAGAGACTAACCACTGGTCACTGGTCACTCACTTGGTCCTGGAGTTGCAGGATTTCAGGACTGATACAAACCTCTGCTCCGAGTGATGATGAAGCTAGGCTAATCCTGGTTTCATCATCTCCTTCAATTCTAAAAACCGTAATGATCGAGGTTAGAAAAGCAGTGTCGGACGTGCTGGTCGTGTTTGAGCTGACACCAGGATCAGGTTCTCCTGGTGGCCTCTGTGTCCTGGTCTGAACTGATCTGGTCCAGCCTCTCTGTCTGACTGATCACAGCTGGCTCTTTTTAAAACATCTCCCAGATCTGAGTCTTTTTCCCAGGAGCTCTGTTCTTTATTTCAACGTCTGTCGGCTCCGGTTTTTGGGACTTTGTGAGTCGATCATTTTTACTTGTTATAAACACGAGGAAATGTCTTTGTTTGTGTGAGGAACAAAGATGAAACTTAAGATTTATATAAATCACGACTCTTGAGGGAACAGACATTTAGTCTTTTATTAATGTTTATATTTGAGAGTATCTATTCAAACCATGGCAGACTCAGCTGTCCGTCCCTCGACTCTTGGCATCCAGGGTTTTGCAGACGTAAAGGTTGGAGGCTGTGGGGAGGGGGGGGGTTACGGGGGGCCAGTCCCCACATCAGCCTGTTGGCTGTGCGTTATCACGAAAC